TGCTGGTTGCCCCTGAGCATGCCGTTCCCTGCTGGCCCCTCCTGGATGCGTGCCAGAATAATTTTCTCGAACAGCTTGCCCAGGATCGAGGTAAGGCTGACTGGCCTGTAGTTCCCCGGGTCCTCTTTTCTCCCCTTTTTGTAGATGGGAACCACGTTGGCCCTCTTCCAGTCCTCCGGCACCTCTCCAGAGCACCACGATTATACTTATCCTGTAAATCTGGAATCAAACTCACGTCATTCCCTGAGCTGGATCCAGACCATGCGGCTCCTTGTGGGCCAAATCCAGCCTGTGGCACCTCCAGCTCAGTGGCAGCAGCAGCAGCTCCAGCACTCGGCATGAGGCCACAGCAGCAGCAGCTCTAGCTCCCACCATGTTCCCCCTTTCCAGAGCTGCCATTGCCATTGCTGCCACATGTCTCGTGCGTCAGTGGCAGCTCTGGCATGTGACAACAGCAGCTCCAGCATGGGGCAGTGGTAGGTGAGGAGGTAGGGCTGTAGTGGTAGCAATGGGTAAAGCGGTCAGAACTGATATCCATGTGCACTACAGCCCAACAGCCCCAGATTCTGCAGGAGGCCACTCCCCTGGCTATGCCCCCCATTTTCCAGTATCCTGGATAGAGCCAGCTAGATGCAGCCCATAGGCCATATGTCTTACATCCCAGCTGCAGGCTTATAGGTACAGCACACCACACATGAGGAGCAGGGTAATAAGAAAATAAAGGTAACATTCTAGTGGGGAGGGGATTAACTTACTGAAAATAGAAATCAACTGGAAACTGAACAGGCCAGAGAAGTGTTAGATAAGCCAAACCCAGTGCCTAGTTATAATGAAAAACATCATGCTTCCCTATTCATTGGCCAGTTTGTTGTTCATGTAAAGCAAACCCCAGATACACTGATTGCAGTTAAGCTACGGAGTAATTATTTTTAATACTGACAGCCCTTCTGTTTACCTTGATTAAGTGAGAGGATCTTTTAAGGGGTATTTGCATAATTTTACTTCATTATCATGAAGCTGTTTGGTAAAATATTCAAAGTTAAAGCTTCCATTAGCATTCCATTATGCGTGTTAATACTTCCCCACATCATTCTGGAAATTGGGAAGGGGTTGTTGGACTAAATGAACCTTGAGGTCTCTTCCCTAGTTTTCTGTTAAATATACTATGAATCTGTTAAATGTTTCCTTCTCAAATAAGTGTTCCATGTATAACATTTTGTACAAAGGTAGAGAACAAAATTTTCTTCTTCAGCTTGTAACCTAATACTTCTTGATGCCTCTTGAAGAAATCTCTGCTCCCTGAAAACACTATGAAAACCACAACCCAGGAACAAAATGTCTGCTTACATTTACATTGCAAAATTAATTTAAAAATTATGTGAACAGCTGCAGTGAGGATTATATCTTTTAAATACCTGCCTTAAAGAGGTTCAGAGCACAGGCACTGCACTTTTGTTTTCCTAGAGGATGTCATGCTGCAGTCAACTTTCCACTAATGAGCCAAATATA